TATTATACATAGTGAAATAGTTAAGTAAATCAATATATGCATCATATCTCACATAGCTATCCTTTTTGTGTGTGTGACAAGAGCACCTGAAATTTACCCTTTCACCAAAATCCCCAACTACAATGCAATATTATTAACTATAGTCCTCATGTCGCGCAATCTCTAGGCTTGTTCATCCCACATAACTGCAACTTTCTAGCCTTTGAAATGCATCTGCCCATTTTCTTCCCCCTTTTCCCTACCAGTGACATATTCAGTTCTTTCTTTTGTTCCCTAAGTAAAAATGCTGTAGAGTCCTAAAATAACACTTTCTCCAACATGGAATTGTTTGTCATGAGGGGTACTATTGGCCCTTTGGACAGGGCCTTTCTTCATTGTGGAACATTGCAGGATGTTTAACATCCATGAACCCCAGGTACTAAATGCCCATAGCTGTCCCAGTTACTGACAACCAAAAACATTCCACCACCCCACCCAACTCACATACACAAAACAGCACCCAGAGAGGAAGAAACACGGTTGAGAAGTAGTAATTACTGGAAAAGAAAATTATAATTTAGTTTCCTCTATAGCAGCAGCACAGACCCTGGAGTTAGAGCTGTCATGAGGCTCCAGTGTAGTTTGTAAATTAGCCTGCATGCTTTCCTCATCGTTGCTGAACCAAGGAAACTATCCTGTTGATTTTCAATTTCTACTTGCCTAAAGCTCTTTGTGCATGTTCTCTGTGTATACCTACTTTTCAATTTTGTGTTTTTGTATGTGTGTGTGTTTAATAAAATGAAGAGATGTGACATATATTCAGGTCTCACATTTCTTATGGAGTCAAACTCTTATTTCTTTACTTTTATTCCTGGTTAGCTTTATTTAGCTTTTTGTATGCCACCTTTTCCATTAAGAACCTAGTGATTAAGAACACAGAATTTTACATAATCAGAAGATACATCTAAAAGAAAAAGAAACTAAAAGGATAAGAGAAAACTTATTTTAAAAAGAAATAACACAGACTCTGAGGTCAGACTACCTGTGTTTATTTTTTTTATGACTACCTGTGTTTAAATGTTGGCCCTTCCACTTATTAAGTGTATGATCTAGGAAGTTATTTAATTCTCCTTGTCTCTGTTTCTTCATCTGTAAAATGGGAATAACAACAGTAGATAAATTATAGAT